TATTTATACATTGCAATATGTTCCTGTTTTACAAGCGTATACAGTAACCAGGCAAAAAGATAGAAACAGCACAATCAGGAAATTAGAATTTGATTTATTTCTTTATCTCTTTCTCAGTCTGAGTCTGAGTGTTGCAAAATACCTTTTATAAGGTATATAGCTCTTGATACGGTATTAAAATCAAGAGCTAATAATACCTAGAGTGTACAACGAAAAAACGGCGAAAACAGTGCCTGTATTTCACGACAACATTATTCTAACTTTGCCTGCGAGCTCTATAATAATTTCATGGTATTGCATTAAGCAGAATTGCTCTTGCTCTCTAACAAGACCAACCGGCTGTCAATACGGATACTCCTAGGCGGAGATATCGCGTATACTCCCCTCCCACATGCCAAAAGCCACCTCGAATCCACTTCTGTTCCCCATCCTTCACCAGGCCTAAGCGTTTGCCTCCTCGTGAGAGTTCGGTTTTCGCCATAATCTTTATGACATGATATCATTCGGGTGCAGGGCAGGAGTGGACGTGACTTTCGGGGGCAATCGCCTATGCCTTATCTCCATTATTCTTCCCTAGCCACGGCCTAAATGCCCGTCATGAATGGAGCCGGCAATGTCTTTTTTTAATTAAGTCTGTACACGCAAGCTAGTAAGCAGTGTTTGCCAGCTGACAGAAATAAGCTGATAGGCCTGCAGGCCCATAGCTTCTAAAAGCTGCAGGCCCGCCAGCCCAAGCTGTACGCCCCGCCAATTTTGAGCAAATTACAGTAATAAAACAGCTTATCACTGTTCTTCCTTTATGTTTATAGTCATCTATCAATGTCCAGGATCATAAATCCTCTGTTTTTCTTTTCTCGTCGGAATGCTGTTTATGCTTCTTTGCGGTGCGGCTCACAATCACTAAGGAAAACGCCACTCGTTGTTATATGTAGCTCCTTGGTAAAACTCGGAACTCTCCCTTTGACACGCAGAGAGAGTCAGACAGACTGGGTAGTCTGGGTACACCATCGCGGGACTTCTATGGGGGCTTGGGGGCCAGAACATTTTTGAAAATTATAAGCTGCTGAGATGCAATATAGAGCCATTTTCAGGGGACTCCAATAGCTTACAACTATGCAACACTTTTTGGTGGAAAAGAAAAAAATTTATGTAAAATTTACATACTGCTAAAATTTTGATGGCACTGTTCGGCGATTCCGTCTTGTGAGTGGATTGTCCGATTGGAGTAAACTGCTATTTTGTTAGACATACAAGCTCCTTACGTATGGAAGCTTTTATTAGCTACACCCTGTATAAACTGTATTATAGTTTTTCCAAACGTTAAAAAATATGACACGTTTTCAACCGGAGTGCTGCGACGGAGGCTGTACCTGCTGTTTGCATGACAATGTAAGTATACGACGTGCCTTTGCAGCTACAGTTGACTTAATTTATGACTATGTGTGTTAAACTTTCAGACAATTATTATATATTTACTGTATGATTCCAACATCATATATTACCTAATCTTCAACTAATATTATATTTAAAAACAGTATACTGATTGTTTGTATAAACGAACAGTGATACTTTATTGTTTTACATCGAAACTGCTGAACAATGCGCGGGGATGTGAAAATTACTCCACAACATAGCGCCTAAGTGAACAGTGAGCGTGCTGCACGAGCCGTGCACCGTAAATAAACCCTCGCCAACACAATGTAGGGTTCACTACTTACAATGGCCAAAAGTAAGCACACCACTTCTTATTCGGATTTTTGTATGCCCACGCTGCTACTGGATGCAGGAACCTGTGCTCAACCTGTGCGTCCGAACATCCCACGCAGTCCGTTTCTTGAATGCCAAATATAGTTGATTGCGTGGCCGACACGCATGTATTACTGTATGTCACGTTTATCACGATTATTTTTCGACAATAAATCCCACTGGAAGTTATATGCATGAAAACAATTTCTACAGGTAACAGTTTTCTCAGTGATTCTCGAATTTTGGGGATCAAAATAGCTGTAGCGATCAGCGGGCCTGTTGTATCAAGAAGCGGTAGGGCCCGGCATCGAACTTGTCCGCGGCGGCGCACGGGGCCGAGTCTGAATTCATCGTAACACTGCTTAGTAAATACAGAAATTTGGGCCAAGTGACATCAATTATCAGCGATCAAGCCTCGTGACGGAAACCGATAGCCGAAATGCTTAGCAGGTGAAGGATGGGGACAGATAGTGGATTTCGATGCGATTTTGGCATGTGGAAGCGGCGAGTTTAGGAGCGAATCTCCGCCTAGAGTTGTATTGACAAGCCGGTTGTCTGTTTTAGAGAGCAAGAATTCTGCCTTAATCTGCAATACCATGAATTATTATAGACTCGCAGGCCAAGTAGATAATTGCTTGTCGTGAAATAGCACCTATTTTCCGTTTTCCCGTTGTACACTCTAGGTATTATTAGCTCTTGTGTTATTATATCGATTTACGGTTCGTTACTTTGTATTGATATTATTACTAGGGTGAGGTTCGATTTAGGTTTGATATTATTTATAGGTACGTTAGGCTTCGGATTAGGTTTGTTTATTATTATGGGTAGGTTCGATTAAGTTTGATATTTATTATAGGTAAGTTCGATTAGGGTCGATATTATACGGTTTAGGTTCGATTAGGTTTCTGATATCATTCCGATTAGGTTCTTATGTACGTATTATTAGTTCTTGATGACACAGGATGTATCACAGCCAATACACAGCAGTAGTTATAATATTAACTTTTGAACACGGCGGCTCCATCCGACTCCCTACCTCAAAGAGAGGGAACGTCCGCCGGCCAAAATAAGGGAGTCCGCAGTCTGGCCCGTTCAAAATTAAGATATTAACAATAACGCAGTGTGCTTATTTTTAAGTATTCACTGCAGTAGCCACATCTGCCAAATTTTCTTTGAGACATTAGCTGAAAAAATACGGTTAATTCCTCGCGAGGCCGGTGCTCTCGAACGAATCTAGGTTACTAATAGCCAGAATTTTCAGCGGAGTCACACAGCTCCTGATACTGTCAAATCAGGGAGTCGACAATAAATCAGGAGTATTTACTCTGAGACTCCCGTTAATTCGCACCCTGAATACATGCATGAAATGAGTCACAAGCGTAAGTAGAGAGATGCCATGGGTGTGAACTCAAACTTATTATGTGGGTCATACTGTTGTGGGTTCTCACCTCTAATTATAGGCGTGCTGCTTGGGGCATTCACCTTCATTCTGGCTGACAATCTAGCACCTCTGGATTGCTTCAGGCTGTTAAGCAAACATCTCCACTCTAGAGCAGAGAAGACACATTCTAAACGAACAAAACATAAATCCAAACTAACAAAAAAACTCTTACTAATGCCTCAACCTCAACGCGCCATATAGGCTTCTTACCTTAGTCTTAGTAAAAACCTCAGTCCTTCCAGGCAGACTAACTACCTCTATCCATTTAGAAAACCTGCAAGCCTCACGGCGATACTCTACCCTTAATCTTAAAAAACCTTCTACCTCACGTGCGATACTCTACCTTAATCTTAGAAATCCTCAGCCCTCAGGGCGCGATACACTACCTTAATCTTAGAAACCTCAGTACCTTCCGAGCTAGATACACTAACCTTAATCCTTGAAAACTCCTCAGCCTCTTCCGGCAGGATTACTCTACCTTATCTATAGACAAACCTCAGCCCTCACTGGCGAAGATACTCTACCTTAATCTCATAGAAACGCTCAGCCACTTCCGGGCGGATACACACCTTAATCTTAGAAAAACTCAGCCTGTCCGCGGTATACTTACCATTAATCTTAGAAAACCTCAGCCCTTCCGGCAGATACACTACCTTCATCTTTTAGAAAACCTTCAGCCCTCACGGTCGAATACACTACCTTTATCTTAGAAAAACCTCAGCCTCTTCCGGCGGATACTCCTCCTTAATCTTAGAAAACCTCAGCCCTTCCGCGCGGATCACACTACTTAATCTTAGAAAACCTCCAGCCCTTCCGGGCGGAGCACTCTACCTTGATCTTAAGACAAACCTCAGCCCCTCCGGTCAGATACACTACCTTAATCTTAAGGCTCAAACCTCAGCCCTCACGGGCCGATACACTACTCTTAATCTTAAAAACCTCAGCCTTCGGGCGGATAGCTCTACCCTTAATCTGAAAACTCAGCCCTTCGCGAGATACAGCTAACCTTTATCTAGAAAACCTCAGCCCTCACGGGGGATACACTACCTGAATCTTAGAAAAACTCAGCCCTTCCGGCGGTTGTGATACCTCTACCTGTATTCTTAGAAACACCTTCACGCCCTTCGGCAGATACACTACCTTATATGCTTAGAAATCCTCAGCCTTCCGGCCGGATCTACATACCTTAATCTATAGAAAACTCAGCCCTTCCGTGCTGCGAATACACTACCTTAATCTTGAAAACCTCAGCCCTTCCGCCGGATACCACTACCTCTAATCTTTAGAAAACTCAGCCTTCGCCGCCGATACACTACCGTAATATCTTCAAAACCTCCAGCCCTTGTCGGCGGCATAACACTACCTTAATCTTTAGAAAACCTCAGCCCTTCGGCGGATACAGGTACCTTAGCTTAGAAAACCTCAGCTTCCGGCCGGATACACTACCTTAGGCTTAGAAACCTCAGCCCTTTCGGCGGGAATTACCACTACTTCAGTCTTAGAACCCAGCCTTCCGGCTGGATACACTAACCTTATGTCTTGAGAAACCCTCAGCCCTTCCGCGCGGATATACACTCTACCTTAATTCTTAGACAAACCTCACGCCCTCACGGCGGATACTCTGACCTTAAGTCTTAGACAACCTCAGCCCTTCCGGCGCGATTACCACTAACCTTATCTTAGAAAACCTCAGCCCCTCACGGCGCGGATTACATCTACCTATAATCGCTTAGAAACACTCAGCCCTCACGCGCGGATACTCATACCTTAATCTTAAAAACCTCAGCTCTCACGGCGGTACTCTACCTGCCCCCGTGCGGCAATCCTTCCGAGCGAGTGTGCCTGTGGCGCCCCCGTGCGGCAATCCTTCCGAGCGAGTGTGCCTGTGGCGCCCCCGTGCGGCGATCATATGTTTAGCTCGGTGAGAGGGCTGGAAGTGAGTGACTGCCTCTCCGTGAGCCCCGACTTTCGCTTGACCATCGGCTTTAGTAGGTGTGGTCCGAACTGCAATGGTCAACGCGTGAACAACAGTCAACACCGTGAACAGATAGAGAAACGCATCCAGCATACAACGTACAGAATATATCAACAATCATACAACATACAGAATGCGAGACAGGAGTATTTGAAAATCGTTATAAAATAATGAAAAGAATTTGAATTATGAATCTGTCCGACTTTCATTATGATTTATTACAACGTGAATTATAATCTACTTGATATCATCTTATTTACTTCCACTTGTTTTTCCATCAGTGAATTTAGGAGTGTCCATTACAATACATGAGAACGTACATTATAATAAATTTCCTGCTTGTTTTTTTGCCATCAGCTACTTATATCCTCTCTAGTGAAAAAATAAATGGGAAAAGGAAGCTCACTGGCGGGGTTCTCCTTTCTACTGGACTTCCCTCGGGAGACATCCGATTCTCCTTGTCTGGACTCCATACGTAGCAATGTGCGAATTTCTTCTTCAATGCCTGAGCAATCAACATGGTTGGGTCCTGTGTGATGCAGGGTAACGGGTCCTTTCGCACAGGGGTGCCCCCTGGTGAGCTGAAATTCATTTAAAGAAAGAATGCGATAGGAATTTTCCCAGCAATCAGAAGAATCCACGAAGTAATTAAAATCGATGTAACCAACGGTTAATAAAACCATAAACCCAATTATGCGATAACACTACACGCTTGAAAAATAACGGCAATCGATACTAGATTACAGTAGAAGCTGCACTACTCTCACCGTTTTATCTGACGTAGTTTAACAGTTCCTAGTCCTTGCAACACTTCGGACATATTTATCGTCTTTATCATCTTTACCGGTGATTTAGATTGATTAGCACCTTTCCTCTGTAAAGGCAATTAATTCATTATCAACCAATTAGATCCAATTGTATATATTCTCGTTATTTTTCGGAAAAAAAAGATCTGAAAATGTTGCTTCATAAGTACAATCAACTTCACCCCAAGCAGCATTCAACATGAATATCAAGGATAAACATTTTTTTTTACATCTGATGATGTAGACAACAGCTCTCAGTTTTAAATACTGACACTTGGTCTTTCACATCTTCCAATTCAATTCAATTCAATTTACTTTATTTAAAGTTATGAATTACATTTTGAAGGTCAACAAGTTAATAGCCAATGCTGACAACATTAAAAGTAATGAAACTAAATAAATAGAAGTGATGGAGGGCGAAACGACAATTCAGTCTTCCAGTAGATTACGAAATAACAACATAATGACAAAAAGACAAGATAATAAATATTATATATGTGAACATATATATAT